AGGGCCCCTGGGTCCTCACTGTGGTTCTCTTTCCAATCCAGGAAGATCCTGCCCTGGTTCGCTGGGCCTATGCCAGGACGCAGAACGTCTACCCTACTTTCCGCCCGACACCTAAGACGTCTTTTCTAGGAGCTCTTTTTGCAATAGGTCCTATCCTCTTCTGGATTGCTGTCTTCAAAACTGACAGGGTAAGTCTGTTGACAATTTTGAACATCAGCGAACACCAAATTGTAAAATGTACATCTGCCTGGAGACTTAATTGGTAGGATCCTCTTGCACCTAAGGATGATTAATACCATAAAAGTAATGAAGGAAGGAAGTCTGATACTGAGCCTTGTAACTGGTTGCAAAGTCCTTCTCTGCTAAGAGCACTATATTGTACCCTTGGATATGGCCCGAGTTACCCTGATTGGGATGTTTTGAAATAATAAAGTATTCTGTAGCACTGGCAGTGTAAATTAATCATAAGAGCACTAAACCTTCAGCTGTTGACATGCAGTAACTGCACTTTCTAAAAAAAAAAGGGAGCTTGTGGATGACATTCCTAGCAAGGTCTTTGTGAATTGCTTAACCATTTCTCTAATCTTGTGAAGCAAATGGGGAGTACTTATGCTGATTACAGTGCCTGGTCTCAGCTGATTTTTAAGATTTTGGAAGGTTTATTTTGCTTCTGTTCTAACTCCTGAAATGGGGGCATCGGAGTCTGAGCAATGGTAGATCATTCTGAAAATACTCAGCTATATATACATACATAAGAAAATGCTAGGTGACTGCCAGACTGGCTGTTTTCACTAGTGAATTTGTGGCTATTGTAAACTACTCTTATTTCCCTCTTTTGCACAAAAGTAGCATTTTTAGATCAAGTCATAAACTAGGAAGCACAAACATCAATTAAAATTAATAGAATATTTGTAGGGAATGCTGTTTACTGGGATGAATTGAAACTACAGGTTTTAGGAAACCTGCTGAGCATGTTGATATAAATGTTTTTGAGACTTCAGCATCTCTGCAGTATTTTGTCATGCTGGTTTGGTTTTGTACATGAAGCTTAGCATGGGAGTGCTTGAAAATAAACCTGTGAGAGTGAAATCTAGACATACTTGCCTGGGAATATTTAAGCTGAAGTCTTTAATGTAGTCTCCAAGATAATTGGTTTTCCTTTATTCCAGTTCCTTTACTGATGTTTGGGGATTTTTCTTGGTTTTCTGGTAGTATATAAAGCACAATAGCCATTATACTCTTTTCTCTGAGGAGTGTTTGTTGTGTGCCTGGGAAGGCAAGAGATAAATTGCGACGTCTTAAGCAAGTCTTCTGGTTTTACCCAGCAGAAGGAATCTGGGCACTATCTGCAGCATTTGTGTACTGTAACAATACCTGTCAGAAAGGTACATGACTGCAGAGTGAGATATAAGTGGGCTGAAAGTGAACACAGGCACATTTGGGCAAGTTGTTAAGAAGTTTCTCCATAATTAGATGTCTAAACTGGATTATTTAGCCAGAAGGAGGAGGCAGAAACTAAATGTATAAATGAACTGACACAAGTAGTTTGGTGAAAAATGCATCAAAGGAATTGGTCTCTACTAGCCTGTAAGAGTAGATAGATTTGCAGAGAGATCAATCTGAGCACCTCTTCCCTAGCTGGAAGGTGAGGTTAAATGCCCTGGGGTTTTTTTGGTGGTGTTTTGGGGTTTTTTTTACTTTTTAACCACAACATCTGTTACCAGAGTCTGTGCTTATAGAATCATTTAGGTTGGAAATGACCCTTAAGATCATGTGGTGCTATCTTCATATAGTTTGTGCTGAAGTGCTAGAACTGTTTTTCTCTTACCCCAGGCTGATTGAAACTTCTCAAATAGGATAATGATGAATGTTCTCTTTTTTCCACAGGACCGTAAAGAGAAGCTTATCCAAGAAGGTAAATACAAGCGACCGTTCAGTGTATTTTAAGTTCCCGGAATTGCAGTGCTGTTCATGGGATATAAATAAAATGAGATGTATTGTATACTGATGTTTCTCCTTCATAAGAATAAATCTTAATTGCTCATTGGTTGTCTTGCATCTTTAACAGTTATGGAAAGTTTAACAATGCATGATCTTTATATTTGTCTCAGAGATACACACTCAACCAGTGTGGTCCTCTGGTTTACGCACAGAGGCTCCTTTTAAACCATGGAAGTTGCTGCTGTCAGAGCAGCACAGGCTGAAGTTTAAAATTAGTAGCAGGCTAAAATGTTAAGCAAGCCCAAAGCAGTTTCCTGAAGAGCTGTGGTTTGCCTACTAGGTATTTCTTCCTGGCATTGGTTTGGCTATGTAGTTTGCCATAATCAGATACTAGGCAAGTTCTGTGATACGTTTTTAATAACTTTAGGAGCCTGGCTGCCTGCTCTCAATAACTTGAGTTAGTTTTTCTTTTCCCTAATAAAATACAAGCCTAAACCATGTATTTGTTTTGCAATAAACTTCTGGATAAAATTACCATGCCAGACTTGGAAATAGTGAGCTGAACATTGTCATGGTACATGTGACTAGCATTTCCACTAATTTTGTGATTCCTGTGAGTGGGAGACAAGAAGTAAAAAGATAAACATTTTTATTTTCAATGCTGATTCCCTCACAGTATAGGAGAAATCCATTTCACCCCTGCAAATGGGCTGTGAGTAAAAAAAAAAAACCCACCAAGTGTAACTGAACCTTGTGCCTGCAAAAATGCCTTCTCTGCTTATTCTTATAAAGCACAAGGCTTTTCTGCCCAGGTCAGCTGGTACAGGGTGCTCTGGAATTGTTACAAAAAAGTACTGAAATGTGAGTGCAAGGCAAAGATTTTTAATGCAGACTTGAATTTTCACATGGCCTATAGGTGCCATTGTGATCCAAACAACTCTTGCTCTTCAGACATTGTATGGGAGCGGTTTCTTCCCAAACATTGAGGTCAATGCCAAGAGCTCAGTCTGATGCAAAAATTGAAAACTTCCCTCAGCCTGTGGGAAAACAGCCTGTGTGAAGTCAGCAAAAGCAGCTCTGCAAAGTCCCTTTCCTACATGATTAGGATGTAAATAAGGGCTGTTTGCTGTCCCTCTCTGTCAGGGTGAGTCAATGAGCTTTTTCACAGAATGGCTGAGGTTGGAAGTGACCTTTGGAGGTCATCTGGTCCAGCCCCCTGCTCAGGATGCACCAGAGCTGAAGCAGGTTGCCCAGGACCATGTCCAGACAACTTTTGAGTATCTCCGAGGATGGAGACTCCACACCCTCGTTGGGCAGCCTGTGTCAGTGCTTGGTCACCCTCACAGTAAAAATGTGTTTCCTGATTTATTTTTTGTTATTATATTTTTTAAAAAAGTGTTTCCTGTTGTGGCTCTTCCCTTTCTTGCTTGGGTCATGAAATGGGGCTGTGGGGAGCTTGGCACTGATGCTGCGTGCAGCAGCTGTGTGAGGCCATGGCCTGCTTTTGCAGTTGCGTATGTGCTCCCAGCAACCCTCTTGCACCTGGCTCCATGGCTTGTTCTGCTAGCTTAACTAAAGCAAACCCAGATGATTCTCTCTGCAGAACAGCTTTTAAAAGACTGTCACAAATGATACTACAAGATACGGCTGTGGGTCAGTGCAGAGAGGCATCAATGAACGGAGAAAGTGGTATTTAGGAAAAGATATAATTGCTTGTCTGAGCATGCTAAATTAACTATCTTCCTGCTGCCACAAACTAATTTGATCTCCCAGGACCCATTTCCTCAGCTAATTGGAACTTGAGTTGCCACACATGTAAATTCTCCCTTGCAGCTGTATTTGTTTCAGGCCGTTTGAGCAAATGGTTTGGGATGGGTTGTAGATGAGCGCAGCACCTCCAGTCTTTCAGGCCAGCCTGGGACTGATGCTCGTGGCACCTGCCACAGCCCTTTCCTTTGCAGATGAGAGTGTTAGATGCTACGTCCCTGTAGATTTGAGCATGGTGCTTGGGGAAATGCTGCCCTACTTTTCTCTCTCTTGTTATTTGCAGAATTCTCCAAGCTGTTTTCTTGCAAGGAATGAATGTGCTATGCTATTGGAGGCAGGGTTGGTGGTTTGAGGCAGTGGTGCTGGGTGCAGAGAAGGAAAGGGGAGTTTCCCTCCAGAAATTTAGGGTGAAGACAGGAGAGTGAATGTGCCTGATGGAATTTTACCCTTGACTGATGCGTTACTACCCATGGCTGCTTCAGAGATGAGACTATAGCAAGAGAAGCTCAAGCCTGCAGGTCACTGGATGATATTCAGGTCCCAAACAGAAAACAAGCTTTTCCCATGTGCCTGTGAAACATTTAGACCTCATTTATCCCTGGATCAGTCTGATTAAATCAGCTTCTCTGGCACATTGATTCTCCTGAATGTCCTTTTCTGAGCTGGCTGTATTAGAGTAAACATCTCCCTGTAGATTTTATAATGTAATACTTTGCTCAAAGCTGATGCTTTTTTTCCCCCAAGGATCTGGTGCAGATCCAAAACCGATGATGGATGTAACTGGCTGAAGTTACGTGTTGCAGCTCTACATTTCCTTCTCTTTTTGGAAAACTGAGAATTGCTTCCCTTGGGAAGTAAGAAACATAGATCCTGCTGGCACCAAGCTTAGCAACTGTTTCACTTGGGTATGTGATAAATCACAGGCCTGAGGTTTGAGGTGCCTGGGTGTGCTCCTGGTTCCCAGCCTACTTGGGACTTTGCTTTCTGCTTCCATCCTGTGGAACTCACCACCTGGGAGTGAGGCTGGCATACTCCAGTGAATTTTGAGGTCCTCCATGATGTCTGCACTTGAGCTTACTTCCAGGTATCTTCCCAGCAACAAATGCCTGGGCTGGCCAGCCAAGCCCTTTCACATTTGCTATGCTGCAAATTAGCACTTAAGTAGGGAGAGAATTTGTCAAGTGCTGACAAACAAGTCAATGTTGAAGGATGGCCAGAGTGTGGGGTTGGAAAAGAAACTTTCCCTCACTTAGCAGTGAAGCGCTTTGGATTCTCCAACTTTTTCTAATTTGCGGTCTACTTTTCTGACAACCAAGTCTTCCCTTGGCAACCCTCCACAGAGCAGCAGGTTGAAATGGCCTGCTCTGATAGGAGGCTTAGGTCTGCTAGAACCTTCAGCTCTGTTTGGAAAGCTCTTCCCTTACAGACAGCATAAAATGCTTTATTGATCCCTAGTTTCTCCCTGTGAAAGACGCCCTGGGTGGTATTTTCAGGAGGCCCTGTGAACACGGGCTGGCTGTTTACCTCGTATCTGCACAAGGTACAGCATTCACACAAAGTACACATAGTGAGAGCCACGCAAGTACTTCAGCTTCAGCGTGTCACCAGGAAAGCTTTAATTGGATACTTGAAAGTTAAGAATAATAGTGGGTTTTTACTGCATTTCCCAAGTTACACAGGGATGATAATTTTTGTGGCTCAGTGGCTGCTGGAAATGCTGTTCTGTGCTGGAGCACTCTCTGTTGCCCGAGTCGACTGTGCCACCATCACCTGTAGGTGTGCTGGATTTCCCTGTCTTCACTCATGTATTGCAAGCAACAAATACCTCTCTTTACTTGCACTTAGGGTTGAAATGGCTTTTCAGAGGTTCCCAGCATTTGTAGTAGTTTTTATCTAGGCAGTTGGAGGTCTGGAGGCCCCATTTGGTGATGGCCAGACTGAGGGACGATTCGAACATGAAGGCCTGTTGGGAAGAAGGAAGGTAGGTTAGGGCAAGACAGCGAGTGTTTGCATCCAGGCAAGGCGGCTCTGCTCTACCACAAACAGGAGGCTGGTCCAGCCCTGACAAGTTCTGCCTCCGGCCTGATCAGCCCAGGTGGAGAAAGCTCTTCAGAGCTGGCCTTGCAATGCTGGTATTAACCAGGTCGCAGGAGTGACTTTGGATTCCCTGCATACCCAGGAAGGCCAGGTTGTTCCAAAAGCTCTAGTTCAAGGTCTGTTGATCATCATCATTAGATTTTAGGGAGTGGAGAAAGGAGGACAGTCAGGGGGTTTGTTTCTCTCTCCGTAGGCTGACAAAAATTAAATTAATCAGTGTGAAAATTGCCAGTTTCCTGCTCAGGCAACAATTTATGTGGGCAGATGATCAAAGCTACCTGGCACCGCCTGTCTCCAGGGGAGCTCCTGGGAGTTGAATGGTGCTGATCGGTAAGGGAGGTGAATGCTGCAGCCGTTCAGTCCAAGTACTTTTCCAACTCGCCAGCAAGAAGCTAGGCTGTACTTTTGAGAGTGGCACAGCTGCAGTATGCTGTGCTGAATTCGAAATCTTACTGGCTGCCTTGGCTCCTTACCATGGTCCCTTCTGCAACCCTCTCGGGCTCCAGCTTGGCTTTGCTGGCCTTCTCAAAACAGTCAGCATCCGGCCCATGAGGAGTCATCATGCTGTGCAAGCTGGCCCCTCCAGGCTGGAAGCCTTCCTCCTTTGCTTCGTAGTGGCCTTTGATGAGTCCCATGAACTCACTCATGCAGTTCCCTGCAGGAGCATAGAGAAGAAGTTGCAATGCAGCGTGATTGGGAAGCATCACAGCTGGGCTGTGAGCTCCTTGAAACCCACGAGCTAAGCTGGGCTGGGCAGTGGGTGGAGTGGAGGTTCCTAAGCAGGACATCACATCAGGGATCCTACAGGTGATGCTTGTAAAGCTGTACAAATTTTAGTCTGCTGTTAGTTATCTGGATTCGGAAACGGAAAGCTCTCTAATGAAGGTGCGTTGATGTTGGTAGACCTGTGCTTTTCCTGCCACCTCAAGGTGTGTAAGTACTACACCTGCATACAGACTGCAGGGTGTAACCTAATATTTGCAGATGTGGATTGGAGATCTTAAAGCGCTGGGAAAAAAGTTCAATATAATCATCCTTGTCTTATAGGCACTGAGGCACAAAATGCATGGCCGGCGGTCTGGTGAGAGAGCCTGGTCTGCTGTCCAAGGTTATAAGCTTGAAATCATTTTGTCTGATATTCT